AGACATGATCACTGAGTATACCCGGTAACATTTTATCCCTACCGGGTAATCGCTTTACCCACCGAGGATTACAAAAACCCACCCACCGTCAAAGGCGATGAGTCCTAGTAAGTACTATCATTAATTACGTATGAGTTGCGATGAGTTTACGTTGAAAGTGACATAACCTGCACAAGGCTAGCTATATTTTGAAAAGGATTTAGCGCCTTCTCTTGGCAAAGCACGTAACTTTAGTTCCCCTCCTTTCTCCTACTTAGTGAGCTATTAGTCAGATCTTCCGCTGAGTCTGTTGAAACGCAAGTCTCCTCATTACTGGTGGAGGCTAAGTGTAAATCGTCTTCTTCACTGTCGAGATAACAATCAGATCCGTCAAAGTCTGAAACACACAGTTCGGACTCGTTTTCCACTTCTTCGAACTCTTTAGGAGTTAACGAGCTTGTGTCGCACTGATAGAAGTCAAATTTCAGGAACCTATCTCTTAAAACCATCGAGGTTCTCACATTCTTCCTAGTTAACCGCGTACGATCCTTCCGCATAACCCTTCCAGCCAAAGAAAAGCACCTCTCAACATCGCAAGTAGAAATTTTGGTGTAGAAACAAGACATTGCAAGCTTGAAGAGCCGTGGAAATCTTAGACGTCTGTCGAACCACCAAGAAATGGCCGCTTCTCTCGAGTTGGAAGCTAAAATGGGCTCTCCCAAGTAATTAATCCAATTCAGCTGTGTCTACAGCGTTGCCGTCAACCACCTGTTCATCTTCAGCATTGGTATCAACTAATCCCAGTAGGTGTCGGTCAAAATCAAAGATATTTTGATCCGTGTGACAACTGGGTTCGATACACGTGTTAACCTCTTCTGAAGGGCCGATGGATTCATATTCTTTGAAATAATTTCTGATGAAAGCTTCACATAGCTGAATACGTTCATTAGCCTCTGGCGTAGACATTGTGCGGTAAAGTTTTTCCGTTTATGTCTAGGATCGAGCATAACAGACAAATAGTAAATGGGGTCTTTCTTGACCTCAGCAAAGTAGTTCAAATGTGACTTCTGTGCCACCATCATGGCCTGCAGAACAAGTTCTCTATCCTCAGGGTGCAGCGCTGAAGAGCCATTAAGGCAAGAGAAATTGGTAGCTGAAGAGGAGCTAGAAAATGTAACACCTTCCACAGCTTGTGAAGCGGCCGTGTAGTAATGATCTAGAAGGTAATAGAAGGGAACGGCATTTGACAGGCAATTGTAATCATCTTCCTGCAATTTTAGAGTTAGATTGTTGAACAGTTCACAGGCCTCGACGAAGTACTTCAATAATTGGGCCGTCCTCGCATCCAAAATAAGGTACTTTTCCATTTTAGAGGAGAGTTTCTCTCCACCCATCTCTTTCGTTTTCTGGCACCATGCTTCATATAAGTTACGGTTTGCCAAAAATCTCTCAATTTGACGCCACTTTAGCATCCATCTGGTTGGACATTCAAGTGGAATCACGGGAACTTTCGCAATTTTCAGACCAGTTGCTATGCGGGTGGAATATCTCATAATTTTCGCCAGCTTCACGATATTGGTGTAAGCATCCGCAAATTTGACCTCAGAATAAAGATGGTGAAACAACTTTTGAACTTGCAGGTTCAAAACATGGCTGGTACACCTAATGTAGCGCACCCGCTTGAAAAGACGGTGAGCCAATGGTTTGTACAACTTCAAATTATCGTGAACCAAAAAAGATAAAAAGCACCATTATTGGAGGCATTATCCATTGTTATGGTAGCCACTTTGTCTAATAATTTATGCTTCTCTAGAAGGGATGACACTAGAGTATAGATGTATTGCCCAGTATGACTCTTTGTGCCGAGGCTTACAAAGTCAAGCAAGTGCGTATTTTGAGCTTTATTGTTCCGGTTGAAAAATATTGAAGGCGCTGTGGCTAAATCTCAACGTAGTTTCATTGAAAATATTTGGAACAAATGAAACCATAATGCCCAAAAATGATTCACCGTTGGGCGCGGTCCAGATATCTAACAAAACGTTCACGAGATGGGTGTCTTTTAGATTCAGTGCTAAGCACTCATCCATGTAACCAGAAAATAATTCAAGCTTTTTCACAAGGGTAGTTCTTGATTGAATGAATTTTGACTGTCTTGAGCTGTTGATAATGTTCCAAGTATTAAGCTGCACATAGCTAAATGGAAGGAAGCCCTCTGTAACAAGCAGGACCGTTTGGAAAGCCTCGGGATTTTTCTTGTATTCGTCTCTTATTATACTAGACACCCTCAAAGCGGTTGATCTCCGCACAAAAACGTCTAAAGTTCTCGACTTTTTAACTTTATCGTTATTCTTGTTTTTGAAAGCTGCCGGATGCGCATGCCGGATGTGTTTAGACAAATTTCCCGTTGACTCACCTTCAGGATACCGCTTTCCACAATAGAGACACTGTGCAAACTTCTTACCGTTGATTGTCGGAAACTCAAAAAAGGGCCGAAGAGATGACTTCAACATCCAGCCACTTGGTTTAAGTGATTTTGGTGACTCTCCCAAAGTTTCATGACGTGTTGCAACATCAGTGAACGAATTTCCTGCCTCAGGAGGAGCTGAGCGGCTAACGCGACCAGTGATCTCTATAGGCATAGGCTGTGTAATTATTGGTTGAATTGAAGGCTGCGATTCCATGGAAGGTTGAGTTGCTCTTTCTTGGTTGTGTAAAAGTGCAAACGATCTAAATTGGCCCTCGAGTTGTTAGGGCAGAATTTATAGGTTGTAAAAAGCACCACGATTGGTAAAAAAAAACGCGTAAAAAAATGGAGGACTGGACAGGATCGAAAATCAGCAAAAAGCTTATGCAGGTCAATCACGCGTGGCCATTAGACCTTCAGTGAACGCTGAGTGTGCTTGGCTTCTAAGAACAAGCAACTCCAAAATTCTTTGAGGCATGTTTTGTTCTACTGCTTAATGTTTGAAAGAGAATGGTCAACTTCTATATTGGAAAAATAAAGATGACGATAAAAAACACCTTCGTGAGTTGTGATGGGTTATGATGGGTCAGAGCTGTATTTCGGGTACCATCTTAGGCTGGGTAACCCTTATCCAGGAAACCCACATAGTATTCGCGTGCGCCGTCACGTTCATTCGCCTATTACTCGCGTGAAAAAATAGGCGACCCGCCAGCAACCCGCGTCCTTTAACACTGGATACCCTTTCAAGAACCGAAACGCGTAAAGAAAATTTCTGGCGTCAAAAATTCAAATATTTAACATACATGATCCAGACCAACCGCTCCCCGGTTCGAACTACTCAGCTGACACACAATGATAGCGGTCCAAGAGTCTTATCAGATTGAAGAGCTTTCCGACGAAACCTCAGATTTGGAAGGTGAGACTCTCACCCCAGAGCCACGTGTCTCAAACCCAGTAGATGCGGCAGATGGCTCCTCCATTCCTATTACACCTACTAGACAACTTAAAGTAACTGGATGGATGGATCGATCAGCCCTTCGCCGCCACTTCGATGTTACAGAGGTGGATGGACTAAAGATTGCCTCTTGTGTTCATTGCAAACGCGAATTCAAGGAAGCGAGGTCCACAGGAAACCTTTCAAAACACGTAAAGAACGTTCATCCTCTAGCATACCAAAACGGTCGAAAAGAAGAAGAAAAATCTAGGAGTCTCAGCCAATTAGGAGTCAAGTGTCGTTCCTTGCCACCGCCAGCTGCAATAACCGCAGAATGGAAGCATAGCCCTGGCGATTTTGGTATCCTGTTGCTTTTGACGGAAAAGTTAGTCCCGTTCTCCTTCTTCGAAGGCAAAAGCTGGAACGTCATTAGCGAAGCCTGCTCTGGTATTAAATTGATAAAATCTCGTCCAGCGATCATTGACAGGCTATCGAACTATACCAATCACTTCAATACTGCACTTAAAAAAGTATTGAGTAAAACTGACTTCATTAACATTGAACTGGATATCTGGTCCGGCGGGAATGGAAGATCATATCTTGCTGTAGCCGCATCATTTGCTCCCAATCTTATAAATGATGCTATGCTGACTGATGTTGGCAGCAGCAAGGCTCTTCTTAATAACCATTACGCTCCGTACAACACCCACATCCTAGGTTTCATTGATGTTAGCGACACACCACACACCGGGGAAAATCTTTTCAAGGAAGTTCGGGATGTGATGAAAGAGTATGAAATAGATGATCGAGTTGCAACAATTACTTGTGATAATGCCACAAACAACATATGCATGCATTCCCACCTTGTCCATGACCATTTCAAGAAATGCAAATCCAAGACGTTCGATCGTCTGGGAAACTTCCATATTTTCCGGTGTGGAAACCATATTTTGAACATTCTTTTCCAAGATGTAGTGAAAAACCTGAAAGCAAACACAAAGTTTAGCTTGGCACTGGCGCGTATCACACGGTTGGCTCACAAGATGAAGCACACTTCTGTTTTGAGGTCTTCATTAATGAAAGCTTCAATCCCGTTGGTGCCTGCTGCATCGGAAACACGGTGGTTGTATATCTGGAAGCAAGTAACCACTTTTCTGAAATATCGCCAGCAGTATCTGACGTGGTTCAATAACTTTAAAAAGTCACCACAGAACATTTCTGCTGCTTCAAAAATCGAAAAGTGTTTCGAGCAAACCCCTGAGGAAGTCCATCTTTTGCAGTACTTTGTCGATTGTTGCTCAATCTTCAAAGTGTTGAATGACACTCTGCAAGAAGTTTCGTTTAATCATCTCTCTAATGCGGTACCTTTCTATTACACACTTCTGGAATATTATGACTTATGCGGTGATGCCCATACGGAACTATAGAGCTACCGACAGAAGGAGCATTTGATTTCACCTTTATCAATGGAACTCAAAACCCGCCGCTAGATATGAAGAAAACGGTACTTGATGCTGTCCTTTCTACTCGAAACAAATTTACAACTTATTTCCAGTACTTCACGGAAAACGATCTGTATTTTGTCGCTGCATTCTTGGATCCTTCGTCCAAACATCAGTGCTTCAACACCCTTATGACGGAGGACGAGGCTCAATTTCGACTAAGCAAAGTGGAAAGGTATTTGAAGTCTTACCTCAAGAAGTCCGAACCGCGAAAGGTCGTTACATCAACTGAACTTGCCAAAAGATCTGTTAGAGGCACGCGCCATCGAGTCAGTAAATTACCCACAACTAACCGGCGCGAAAAGCATTCACGTAATGCAGAGGCTTCTATGTGCAATCAGGCAGTCAGTGAGTGGGACAAATATAAAGCAGAAGAGCAACATACCTTGGACTTCAAAGAGGACCTGATACAATGGTGGTACGAACGCCGTGGCGCATATCCCAACTTATTCAGGCTTGCGGTGGCCCTTCTATACACAAAATTTAGCACAAGCGGTCTGGAGAGAGCATTTTCTATCAGCAGAAAAGTTCTTCGTAAAGAAAGAAGAAGTATGAGCAGTCTAAATTTTAACAGGTTGCTAGTTCTTAGAAATCGCTTCAAGGGCTGGGGCCTCCTCGACCAGAAATTAACACTCAATTTCCAAGATTCTGATGAGGATGATGACTATATAGAATGCTACTCTCAATCGGATGACGACGATCTCGAGTTTTAATAGTTAAAGCTAGCATATCAATCTAATTCAACACTAATTAGGTAAGATCAATGCTTTTCTCTCGATTTACGGGCGCTTTGTTGAACTAACAAGTTGTTTATCCGCGTTCCATCCAAACGATGCATTCGAAATATCCTTAAATGAGTTGAAAATATTAAAATATATACCCAAGAATTACTCGATCCGTACATGACTACTACCCGTTTACTACCCGCTCTCGGGTATCCGGGTAGTTATTTTGTAATCCGGGTCAACCCGAAATACAGCTCTGTGATGGGTAATGTTCGTCAAACATGACGGATAACCCGTTGGAAATCATTTGGAACGTTTTAAACTCACAAGGTAGTTTTAGTATGAGATGATGGGTAGTTTTTGGCATTTCGTATGAAACTGTTACCCACTGATCATGTCTGAATAATGCCATTATTTATATCATCCTAATATACGATATTTTGATTCCGTCCCCCCGATTGACTGAAACGCCATCGATCTTAGTTCATCCTCACCTTCCTACGCCATCAATTTTACGTTGAGCTTCTTTTAGCGTCTGTCTTATGGATGTTAGGTCTTTAACGAAATGTACCTCATCTTTATCTTGATTGCTGTCCATTTTATTTTTATCGTCGAGCTCGGTATCGGAGAAATACTGGGAATAATCTCGAAGACAGAGAATCTTGAATTCGTCTTGCGAAGCTCTCAAATTCCATTCCGCGAAGCTTCTAGTTCTTAGTCGTCTTCGTTTACGATTTTTGTTGTTGTAGTGCACCACGAATGTAAATGGACAGATGGTCCGGCACTGCGAACAAAAAATACCGTCGTCATCGCTGCTCTCGCTGTTAGAGTCAGAATCGTTCTCGTCGCCTTCTTGAGACTCGTCGTCGTCGTTATTCCCGGAAAACTCGGCCGTTCTTTCAGCCACACGACTTTTGTCTGGTGAGGAAGAGGAACTTACAACCTTAATGATGTCAGGATCTAAGTTCAACTGATCTAGCAACTTCATCTCCAGGTTAAATGAGTGCAATAGTTCGGAATAGCATATTCTGATAAAGCTATTGTCAAAATGGGTCTGGCCGCGGAGAAAAGACGTGATGATATTAAGCATGAGTTCATTCATGTCAAAAACGCATGGCTTCCCGCTCCTGATATAGTCGTAAGTAGCTTCGAGACCATAGGGCAACCAGGAGTTAATAGTGAAGTTTACCGCCTCGTTGAAATTGTAGCCGGAATTAAAGCCAGCATGATAACACTTTGGAAATGTAATGATATATTCGCCTGGCCTTTGAATGGCCTTGTAGCAAGAAATTCCAGCGTCTTGGAATTTTTTATCATAGGGTGCAACCAGAGTGACAAGCTGGTGGAGTAGATCTGGTTGTTTTTCCAAAATATCCGGGGCAATGTGGCGCATTAGATTGTCAAACTTACTGCACGAACTTTCAGGAATGCTGTACCAAATCTTGGGATCGCCTTCATGTTGATAATTAGCACTCAATGTGTATTGATCTTCCAAATGCCAGCAAAAGGTGGAAAACGTTGAACCGATATAAATCCATGGTATTGTCATACCAGAAATTTTCTTGCCAAATAGCGAAAGCAAAGAACCTCTAGCTTGAGGAAGATTCATCAAGTTCATGGGATGAGAAGTATAGTCGAGATATTCACTCAGACTTTTTGGGTTTTCACCAATAGACGGGGGCACGTAACCTTTCGTAGGAAAGCCTGTCATTACACCGGGACCCTCATTGTGAATATCGGCACCATAACGTATGGTACTTGGTTTTTCAATATCTTTCACCCTTTCCCAGAACATTTGCTCTAATCGATCTAAATCTTCTAGCTTGTCGCCGTTTGGCCACATTCGCTCGTCAAACCTCAGACACCTTTCACGGAAACCATTCTTTGAGTACCATTCTTTTTCCTCTTTGAACCCGTAAAAGCCATTCCCCACCACACAGTTGTCGCACATCCAGTTGCCTTTTGGCACTTGTTCAAGTGCTGGCTTGAGACAAAACAGGTGGAACGGCTTGTCGCAGGAGTCGCAGAGAATGGTTTTACTTCCATGACTGTTGCGTTTGCAAATATAGCAACCAGCTTCAGAGTCCTCTTCTTCGTCGTCGTCGCTCTCGGCATCGTTCAGCAGCGATTTAGGGTATTTTTCATCGTACACAAGCTGTGTTAGCCACGATTTGTTTGGGCCCTTCTCAAGGCTTTGTTGACTCTTTCTTTGCAAGTAATTGTAGTACGGCGCGAGATAGTCGTCAAATACAAGTTTTGCGGCTTTAGCAGATGTACCTGACATCTTTGCCACATGTTTCCAGAGCCTGCTATCACTTTTGATATCTTTCAATGGGGTCAAAGTCAATTCGTGACCACTTGTAGACGATTCTGGGAGAAATCCAGTAGCGAATTTTCGTTTTTTTGAACTCTTAAGCTCTGATGTGTCCAGCTCTGGACTCTTACTCCCATATTTCACAACTTCGATAAAAACGTCGTAAAAGTGCACTTTTTGGCCCTCTTGCTCCACGAACGGCTGCTGAAAAGCAGCTGTTCGCTTCCTTTTCCCAATCATATGGAAATTGTCAAGCTGTCGCATGAGGAAAAGTCTTCCACGGTTCAAAATGTCAAGTTCAGATAGATTTTGCAACCTAGCCTTAAACCTGAAAATGTCTTCATTTATAGACAAAGGAGGTTTAAAATCCGCTGGTGGCACCAGCTTGACCATACCATAACGTTTGCCCAATCTTTGAGCCACAGGTTCTGATAAAAATCTAATCGGGTCCCGAAATTCTTCCGAAGTCGGAAAGAGAGCCGGAATATGCTCTAACTCGACCATGAAATCCCTTTAAAATAATGGTAAAGCCCCCCAAAATAATGAAGCGGATTTGCTTCAGGTAACAATCCTGTCCTTCTCTTCGTAGCTCGGTATCAATCCCGAATTTCGTCTTACAGATGGCTCTTTCCGATGAGTTGGAAATGACACTTAATTTTTCTTCTACTGGAGAAAATCATCATGAGCTGATAACCACCAAATCTCAACAGATTACACTGCCTTTAAGACGCTTATAGGGCGCTCAACGAGTTAAAATTTCGTAATGGAATACACGCTTGCAATTATAGGATGTGGTGTAATGGGCCAGGCCCTTTTGTCGGCGATTTACAACGCACCTAAAGCTACTCCTGAGACTGAAAACCTATACCCTTCCAAGATAATCACATGTAACCACAACGAGGAATCTACGAAGCAGGTGGTGGAACTGGTCAAGACGTTCAAGAAGTCAGCGAATGGTGTCGAGGTTGAGAGTACGTACGGAGAAAATAATAGGGTGATAAAAGAGGCCAAAGTCATCATTTTGGCGACAAAGCCATTTCTGGCCAAGCAGGTGCTGGACGGTGTTAAAAGTGAGATCCAGAATAAACTGATCATTTCATTGGCTGCCGGTTGGACAATTGACCAGCTGTGCGATTACACCCACTATGTTTCGCGCGTTATGACCAACACGCCTGCCAAGTACGGATTTGGAATGGCTGTGATCGCTCACTCCTCTTCGGTGAAGCAAGAACAAAAAAAGTTGGTCTCAGAGCTGGTACGCCACATTGGCAAGTGCATCGAACTGCCTGAGAAGAACATGGATGCTGCGACCTCACTTGTTGGGTCTGGTCCCGCGTACGCGCTGCTGATGCTCGAGTCCATGATGGAGAGCGGAATCAAGATGGGTATCCCGCTCAAGGAGAGCAGGGAGTGCGCGATCCAGGTTCTGAAGGGCACGGCAAGCATGCTTGAGATCACTGGCGAGCATCCGTCCGTGCTGAAACACCAAGTTTGTACGCCAGGCGGAACGACAATTGCGGGGCTATGCACAATGGAGGAAAACGGCGTTAGAAGCGGCATTATTAAGGGTATTGAAGAAGGTGCTGCCGTTGCTGCTCGCTTGGGCAAGAAGTGAAAGCCACCATTGGCCTTGAATTTTTTTTTGTCAAAAGCCGCGCCACACTCAGTTATTCACTATATAGAAACACTAGATATTAGCTGCAGTTGTGAGTATAGCAGTTCTCGGGGTGAACCCGCCAGTGAACTGTGTGAGCTGCTTCTCATTTCATATGTGCTCTATGTGATCCGCTGTTGGAGTCTCCGCTTGCAGTCTCGATCATGCCCTGACACTGCTCACTTCTCAGTTAGTTTTCTCTTGCAAATATCTTCATGGGGCTATATCTAACGCCGTCGGAGTTTCCGCCGTCCCACAGCCGCCGAAAGCTAAATCGTTATGCACGCATAGCTTGCTCGAGCTTCAAAGCAGTTGTAAATGCAGCCTGGAGGTCTAATCAGAGCTGTATTTCGGGTTGACCCGGATTACAAAATAACTACCCGGATACCCGAGAGCGGGTAGTAAACGGGTAGTAGTCATGTACGGATCGAGTAATTCTTGGGTATATATTTTAATATTTTCAACTCATTTAAGGATATTTCGAATGCATCGTTTGGATGGAACGCGGATAAACAACTTGTTAGTTCAACAAAGCGCCCGTAAATCGAGAGAAAAGCATTGATCTTACCTAATTAGTGTTGAATTAGATTGATATGCTAGCTTTAACTATTAAAACTCGAGATCGTCGTCATCCGATTGAGAGTAGCATTCTATATAGTCATCATCCTCATCAGAATCTTGGAAATTGAGTGTTAATTTCTGGTCGAGGAGGCCCCAGCCCTTGAAGCGATTTCTAAGAACTAGCAACCTGTTAAAATTTAGACTGCTCATACTTCTTCTTTCTTTACGAAGAACTTTTCTGCTGATAGAAAATGCTCTCTCCAGACCGCTTGTGCTAAATTTTGTGTATAGAAGGGCCACCGCAAGCCTGAATAAGTTGGGATATGCGCCACGGCGTTCGTACCACCATTGTATCAGGTCCTCTTTGAAGTCCAAGGTATGTTGCTCTTCTGCTTTATATTTGTCCCACTCACTGACTGCCTGATTGCACATAGAAGCCTCTGCATTACGTGAATGCTTTTCGCGCCGGTTAATTGTGGGTAATTTACTGACTCGATGGCGCGTGCCTCTAACAGATCTTTTGGCAAGTTCAGTTGATGTAACGACCTTTCGCGGTTCGGACTTCTTGAGGTAAGACTTCAAATACCTTTCCACTTTGCTTAGTCGAAATTGAGCCTCGTCCTCCGTCATAAGGGTGTTGAAGCACTGATGTTTGGACGAAGGATCCAAGAATGCAGCGAACAAAATACAGATCGTTTTCCGTGAAGTACTGGAAATAAGTTGTAAATTTGTTTCGAGTAGAAAGGACAGCATCAAGTACCGTTTTCTTCATATCTAACGGCGGGTTTTGAGTTCCATTGATAAAGGTGAAATCAAATGCTCCTTCTGTCGGTAGCTCTATAGTTCCGTATGGGCATCACCGCATAAGTCATAATATTCCAGAAGTGTGTAATAGAAAGGTACCGCATTAGAGAGATGATTAAACGAAACTTCTTGCAGAGTGTCATTCAACACTTTGAAGATTGAGCAACAATCGACAAAGTACTGCAAAAGATGGACTTCCTCAGGGGTTTGCTCGAAACACTTTTCGATTTTTGAAGCAGCAGAAATGTTCTGTGGTGACTTTTTAAAGTTATTGAACCACGTCAGATACTGCTGGCGATATTTCAGAAAAGTGGTTACTTGACTTCCAGATATACAACCAACCGTGTTTCCGATGCAGCAGGCACCAACGGGATTGAAGCCTTCATTAATGAAGACCTCAAAACAGAAGTGTGCTTCATCTTGTGAGCCAACCGTGTGATACGCGCCAGTGCCAAGCTAAACTTTGTGTTTGCTTTCAGGTTTTTCACTACATCTTGGAAAAGAATGTTCAAAATATGGTTTCCACACCGGAAAATATGGAAGTTTCCCAGACGATCGAACGTCTTGGATTTGCATTTCTTGAAATGGTCATGGACAAGGTGGGAATGCATGCATATGTTGTTTGTGGCGTTATCACAAGTAATTGTTGCAACTCGATCATCTATTTCATACTCTTTCATCACATCCCGAACTTCCTTGAAAAGATTTTCCCCGGTGTGTGGTGTGTCGCTAACATCAATGAAACCTAGGATGTGGGTGTTGTACGGAGCGTAATGGTTATTAAGAAGAGCCTTGCTGCTGCCAACATCAGTCAGCATAGCATCATTTATAAGATTGGGAGCAAATGACGCGGCTACAGCTAGATATGATCTTCCATTCCCGCCGGACCAGATATCCAGTTCAATGTTAATGAAGTCAGTTTTACTCAATACTTTTTTAAGTGCAGTATTGAAGTGATTGGTATAGTTCGATAGCCTGTCAATGATCGCTGGACGAGATTTTATCAATTTAATACCAGAGCAGGCTTCGCTAATGACGTTCCAGCTTTTGCCTTCGAAGAAGGAGAACGGGACTAACTTTTCCGTCAAAAGCAACAGAATACCAAAATCGCCAGGGCTATGCTTCCATTCTGCGGTTATTGCAGCTGGCGGTGGCAAGGAACGACACTTGACTCCTAATTGGCTGAGACTCCTAGATTTTTCTTCTTCTTTTCGACCGTTTTGGTATGCTAGAGGATGAACGTTCTTACGTGT